ATCAGATTAGTAAAATGTGTGTATGACTGTACTTGGTAGAAACAGGTATTTCTGAAATGAGCCTCTGGGTAGTATGTGGTCCTTGTTCAGAGGATTGAAGCGATTCAGTTCAAAAGCACTCCTGGAACTGTGGACTCTTTGGATTTGCTAAAATCCAAAGAACTTTTAATAATGTTTTCAGGGTAATGCTGATCGGCCCTTTTGTTTTCCAAACAAAGCAGTGTTTATATGCTGTGAAAGAGGGCCTTCAAAAGAAACACCTGAAAAGTATTCTTTAGAAGATCACAAAGTGATGCTATGGATTCCTCTGTTCCTTGTTTGATCACTCTTTCTTGTATGCAAGCAATTGTTTCCTTGTAAGTTCATCCAAAGTGCCACTGTTAATTGTATTCAAAACAATATTGTTTTGAAACAAAAGAAAAGAAAAATCAATTTATTTCTGTTCTTAAGTTTTGTTAAAAGTAAAGCAATATCTTTGCAACTCAAGGTCTTACTTAATTTATCTACATATTTAGCTGATATGAATTTTAAGAACTTGGGGGGTTTGTCTCCTAGTGATGTTTATATCCTGGAGTTCCCAGAAAAATCATGTGTCTGTTTCATGCAGAGTGCACGTAAACTATAGGAGGTTTCATTCGATTGATTAATTTTTAAAGTAGTACTATGAAGATTTGAAATTTCAAGGACTGGAGACTTGTAAATATTTAAATTGTAAACTACATGCTGAGTTTTGACTACAAAAAAATGTGAAGACTTTTGGATAATCAACATTTCCTTGTACTTGTGAAATATGCTGGGAAGTGTGAAATCAACCTATGTAACTCCTGCTTCTGGTCACTAGCTGGTACCAGTCTGCTCCCAAAACACTGCACAATATTAGGTCATTGACCAGAAGTAGTTCTAGATATGTTACCAGCTGGAATTAAGATTATTTATTAACTTGAGAGTCAATGGTATTTTGCTAATACTGTGCTAGGAGCTAATCGGTATTGTTGTCCTTGACTTTGTAGGCAACAAAATTGACACAAATTAGGGGGGAAAAAACCTGTTTTAAGGTATGTGATAATAACATCAGTTTACTTGGTGTGTGTTTATTTACTGATAGAAACAGTATGAGTTACTTAACACTTGTGTGCTATGAAATACTAAATGGAATGCTAGCAATAAACTGGTACCATATTGCCAGGACTGTGAAAATTGGTGTTTTAAAAGAGAATATATTGTAATATACCACTAGTTCTAAGTACTCTAGTGTAGTTGCAACAGGATAGAATGTGGAAATGTTTTCTGTAGATGCACAAGATTACATTCAGGACTTGAGGTTATATTTTCTGATTTAGCATTAATGCTGTAATACATCTGCTGCATTTTTTCTGATCTAAAATTCTTGCCTAATTGACAGAGATCTTTTTAAAAGAGGTACTTGATATTTGTGGGCATGGGAGAGCAGTTACTTTTTGTTTCTTGTTAGCATATTTATTTCTCTTTCCAGTATTTTTGCACACTTCGTGTTGCTGTTGAAGAGCTCTTCGAAATGTTCTTCATTTATAAATGTAAACTGGGGTTTAATGTATGATACCCTACCCTATTTATATAAATACAGGCAATAAAACTTCTGCTTTATGGAAATGAGGATTTGTAAGTGTCAAGGGTATGTTTTTATTCCTCTGTAGTAATACAGTTTAGTAAATTTTCCTCATAAATTCCATGTCCAGGTGAATATAACTAACTTACGATGTCTCACTTATGTAAAGAAAACTCATCTATAATGTTTTCAACTTGACTATATCTGTTTGCATCAAATTTTAGAATTTCTTTAAATGCTTACTTTGATACTCAGCATGTCTTTGAAATGTTTTGAATTATGAATGTGTGCATATTCTGGCACAGTATAATTATGTTTTGGCTGTTGTAATTGGTAATCAGGCTTTCAGGCCAGCAATTACACTATTTGCAAAATTTACTAAGTAAGAGGTATGTTTTTTAATGATCAGATTTTTTTCCTTGTTTTTAAATTAATAAATATTTCTGGGGTGATTTGTTGTCTTCTAACAAAAAGAATAGCTACAGACATTTTATTAGCTGCATTTACTTTTATATTTACTGTTTTCTGATACCTGCTCTGTAGAGCTAACTAGATGAAGGTGGCCTTGCATGCTAAAATGTTTTGACCCAATGGTTCATGCTGATTACATTTCATTCTTTTCATTTCATTATATGCTCCAGCCTTGCCTCCCTTCCTTGATTAAACACAAGCATTTTCTCATCCTGTGCACTGGCTATTTGTACATGAGCATAACCTAAGTTGTACACGTGTCCATGCTGGAGCAAGGTCAGCAGAGCAGGTCTGGGGGTGGTGACTGGGTCAGCTCAGAGTCCAGTGCTGGCCAGAGAAGTCTGCAGTGACACCCCTGAGGCAACTTCTCCCTGTGCAGCCTTAGGTTCCTGCAGCACCTTGTAGCACAGCTGCATTTGGGGCACCCCCCCCCCCCATACCATTCCCACTGGAACTAAATTTCCCCAAGAGAATTTGCCAAATTTTAGTCTGTTCCTCCATTTCAGACTCATGGACTGCTTTCTGTACCTTAACTACCTGGGATACAAACCCCTTTCCCCTCTGGTCACAATAGCTTGCTGGCACACAAGGAGAGCTGCTCCCAGCTTCCTCACCTGGGCGTCCTTCTGCCCCACTGCTACAGGGCTTTAAGCAGGAGTGACTCTTAACCATTGAGTGATGATTTCTATGTCCATCAGGCTTACCAAGAAGAGGTTTGGCTGGAGAATGTAGGAGCTCCTGGGTTGCAGCATGGCCCTTGTTACAGTAGCAAGCACTCCACCCAAGGATGGGTGGGATGCAGCTGTGTGCAGAGGTTCTTTTATCGTTTAATTTTCCTAAATAAAACTCTTTGTCACCTCTGGTTCCTAATTTTTATTTGCAGTTTAGCCTGCTGGACAGCTAAACCATACTGATGGTTTAAGAGTTGTTCCTTAAAACTTAGCTCTCCAACTTTTAAACAGTGTTTCAAAGAAGACTGGACTACCTCCCAGCCCCTGCAAACAAGGCTGGCAGGCACCATTAAATTGCTTCCAACTTTTGAAAGGCTGAGTAAACCAGCTTCTGCTAAAGCCTAACCTCCCCTGCAGTTTGGGACTGGCTCAATCCCATCCCACCTACCTTGCCCAATGTGTGCTTCCCCCTTCCTCTGGCAGATGCCCCTTCTATACCAATTTGTTTTTTCCAGTTACGCTTCCTTAAGTCAGGATCCTATCAACTGCCACATGTTACAGGAGGCAATGTGACAGTGTCCCCCATGCCAATGCTAGGAAGGGTGCTCCAAACATTTCCTTAGTGAGGGCAGGGAAAAAGCACCAGATCCCAGAAGCTGGTCACACGTGTGGTGGGAACAGTAGGCTTGCTGTCCTGCTTCAAACAACAGGAACCTCTCCCAGTCAGCCCGGATTAAATCATTCACTTCATATACTCCTTTCCCCTCCCAGGATCCCACCCTTTACTGCCCTCACATCCTCCCAAAGCAGCTGCCAGCTCCTATTCACACATTCCATGACTGGCCCTGGTTTTGGTGACATCCCTCTTTAGTCAGCAACCCACGAAGCTACTATTTCCCCTTCTATTTTCCACAAGGTTTGCCAGTTTCTCACATCTTTACCTTGTTAGCACAGTCCTAACTTGGGGGTTAGCAGGTCCCATGGTTATTCCTTTCCCCAGGGTATCTGGAATGGCTGGCAGGTTCCCCAGTTGCTATCCTGATAAGCACTTACATGACCTGACTGTTACTTTAACACAGTTCCTTGCATTGCTGTCTTGTTAGTATAACTATAGAGCCAAGGTAGGCCATTATTCACAAACCTTCAGTCTGTAGAGAAGCAGATGAATGAAAAGCACATAGCAGAAACTGTTGCTGTGGGACTGGATGAACAAGGGGAATCTTGACTGGGAAGGGAACATGGAGCATTTACCACTCAGATGTGTTCAAACTTTTACATGGAGAACCACATATCCAAGGATGGTCTCTGTATGGGGATAAAACACTATAGCCATCTGGTGGTAGACTATTTTATTAGTCCTGGCTAGTCCTGGTGACTAACTGTACACATTTTATAGAATATATATACATGCTCAAAATACCAACCTCTTAAAGTAGAATAGTATGAAAGACTTTTAAATGCTAGGAATACATGCATGCAGTTATTAAGTATGACATTCTATTCTACTGAGCACTAAAATATAGCTGTGATAGCGCTAAAGCATGGAGCATGGTATCATGTCACATGGACCTCATGTTCTTGGTTGCTGTATGAGACTGACTCCTACTTCAGAAATCTTCCTCCTTCCCAGTGACGGGAATTTTCTTACTGTCTGTCTTCTAAGTAGAGGGGAAAAAAACAGATCACCTATTAACTTGATTTCCCACCCAGTTTGTAGCAACTCCAATTAGTAAGTCTTTAATACAAATTCCATGACTGAAATGGATAGCACAAAGCTAGTAATCTTCATAAGGCACTAAATCTAGCTATTAAACCTGAAACCTGTTTGTATGAAAGGTTAATGAACACAGCTAGGGTTTATTTAAAAGACTTTGAAATATTCTATGTATTAATTCACAGAGAATATTTCCCATTAGGTTTTACTTTGATTGTGTTACCTTAAGAGATGCAAGAATTCTGCTACGTGCTGTAAGTAGCATGGATAGTAACAAAATTGGGAACTCTGTGGAAGTTTATATGGTTAAAGTAATCATCACAAGCTGGCTGAATGTGGTACTTCTGCTTAGACTCCCACCAAGAATGAAGGTTGTGATGGGAACTCAACTGCGCTTGAAATCCCCAAGCCTAACTAGACATCTTCCAAGTGTTTAACATCAGTGCAAAAGGCAAGTACCTTGTACTCCATTTTGTTAAAATTACCTGTGTCAGGTAAAATAGGAGTCATCGTATATCACCGAAAACAGCACACTAACATGTCATACTGCCACAAATAGTTAAATGTAGTCAGATCTTTTTTATTGGAGACCATTTTCAAGATGTAAAATACCCCCCCATTTCAATGAAGAAAAAAAATCTTTACATTCAAACCCCACGAAATGTCTTCAACATGAGTTTCCCATATTCTAGAACCTCTACCAACAACAAAAAGATGCCAACAAAACTTCAGTTTCTAGCAAGTCTAATCCTGAAAAAGAATATTCCTTCTGGATGCAAAAGGGTTAAATATATACAGACAGCGAGATATCCACAGAGGCATTTTCCTTATTGCTGAATAAAAACATTTTCAAAAGAAAACATTCTTCACTGGCAATACATGGCACACGTAACAGCAGCAACTTTTCAGTATATTTGTTGGAAATAAATGCAACTGCCATTATTCTGTCAGAATAAAAAGTTACAATACTGTTTTCCCCTCTGAACCTCTAAATGTATGCTAAGAAAAATCAGTTTTTCCTCTCAGTACCAAAGTATTCAGGGAATTCATGAATAATTTTTAGTGCTTCATTGTAGAGTTCCAGATCTGAAACAGGGCAAAGAAAATGGTTATGACACAGAAGCTAAATTCCCCACAAGCAAATGACAGCATTGAAGCACTGCTTATTTTAAAGCAGTGTTAGCTGAGCATTCCCAGTGCCCCTCATTCTCCTCAGTTTTCCTGAGGCAGCCACACTCGCTGCTTGCTGTCTGGAGGGTTATTTTTTGGCCTGCTAGCTGCACAATCACACATGACCCAGTGCCACACATGGCCAGGCAAGAACCACCAGGTTGCAAGTAGGAGAATCATCAGACCACAACCCAGACTGGCTCCAGCTTCAAGTCAGTCCCTACAGTATGACAGTAAAACAGTGTATTTTGTACAGAATGTTTCCCATGACACACTCCTTTTCTACATTCCACTCCATGTCTGGCAGCTTGAAGACAGACCTTGTCCGTAAGGAAAGATTATCAATCAGGCTCTCCCTTCTTACTTATTGAAGAAGAGTTCAGAAAACAGTATGAATTTGACATAATGTTTAATGTATATTCTTACTCACCAAATGGACTTTTATCTTCTCTGAACTGGACATATGACATGCACATGATGGTTGCCTGATTTGTTACTCTTCCCACGACTTCAAGAACTCCTGAGATCTCTTCATCTAGCTAGAAAATGTACCAAATATGAAATTAGTATCACTACATTAGCTGCTCTCTCTACTTCACAGCACTTCAGCCAGGAACTATCCATAACTGATGGTTTGTTCATGACAACAAAATCTGTTCCACACCAAACAACACAGTACTACTGAATGCTCCCGTCCCCCTCCCCCAAAAAACCCACAAAAGCACTGAGCCACTTAGATATACTGGTTTTGTAACAGCCAGTTCAGTAGTGACACAAAAAAATATAAGAAGAAGCATCAGAAGGAAGATACCAGTTTATAAGTCTATAAAACTGTCATTTAATCACTTAATAGAGACTAATCTAGGACACAGTGGGCAGAATAATACAGATTTTAATGCAAAGTATTCAAACCTGAATAAATTCTAGAACTCTGTAATAGCTAAGGAGGTATCACGTATGCCAGAGAGCAGTTCCAATATTCCCGATTCCAGGCATAACTGGAAATTATTTCTTAAGTAATCTGTCAGTAAGCATTCAGAATACAAAGACATGGACAATAACAAGCCTTTGGGTGAACAAGGAGAAAAAAAAAAAGTGAAAAACTTTGTCTTACTCCAAAATCATATAGCTTGAATACATTTTCTTTCTTTTTCAAGATACTGATTTTAGGAGTGCAGTACTACTTCAGTAATGTTCTTCCAATATCTAACAACTCTTACTTTTAAAGTTCTAGCAAGTTTCCTGAAACATAGCAATAGATTCCCTCCCTTCTCCATAATTTTGCATTTCTCTGTTGAAAGGAGGAAGGAACTACACACATGCAAACAATGGTGGGGGGCAAAGTTAGAAAAGCATTTCGATTAGCAAATCTAGAAGTTCCTCCATTTATATCAGGCAAGCCACAGATATTAACCTGGCTTTTTTTTTTTTTTTTTCCTGCACATATCAGTTTCTCCTCCCTTACACACCAATACAAATGATAAAGTGCCCAACACTGCAGCTATGCATTTACAAAATTCGGCCATTCCAAATTTCCAGTTATGGAAAGTTGTGGAATTGTTGGTCAGATGCTGACATCTGAAAATTTAACAACCCCAGGCAGGAAACCTTTTCAGTAGCTCAAAAAAGAGTTTAGGTACAGGCAGAACTTGTAGGAAAGACTTTTTCTTGCAGTTTGAATATTGCGCCATCAAGCTTCACATTTGTAAGACAAAATTCAGCGAGAACAAACTGCATTTTTGATCGACAAGGTGATGCTCCTGTCTTGAAAGTCAGAGAGTATCACGTACAATTCTTTCACATGGAAATGGCCATATTTCTCCGTGTTTAATAACTCATTCTGAGAGAAAGATGGAAAGACTAAACACATGTTCAGTTAAGCTAGAGTATTTGCCATCACAATGAAAACAATCCTTTGATTACAACATTTCTTAGAGGAAAAAAAAAATACATAGACAGAGGAGAATGGCAGGGTGTTATTCCCTTAGTGGTATGTGGTAACAAAGGAAGCAATATTTCTGTGCAGTAGTTAATAGCATATCTTACACTCCTTACATTAATTGCTAGATTTATAGCTTTTTAAAGAAAGAAAGAATGCTTCAAGCTAACTATGAAGTTTACTGAAATCCTATGACAAATGTCTCAAGAGTATAGAGAAATGTCAACTCAAAAGACACTTGAGAATATCATATTCTTAGATCTTTAGGATTATCTTCACAAAATGTTCCATTAGGCATATAAAGACAATAAAGTAAGGGAGGAAAAAGTGAAAGGAAGTAGAGCTAATACATGCAGTGGAATATATTACACTGTAAACAAACAGAGTTAAGACAAAGTAGCCAAAAAACAGGGATGTGTCTGACAAGGAGTGAATACTCTCTCAAATACTAGCTGAAAATTGATGAAGACCACAGTAGTTCAAGAATATGATGTCTGCAAGTTAGACGTGGCAATGAAACACAGGTGGAAAAGGAAGAAACCAAGGATGTCCTTCTTTTCCTGCCTAAAAACTCAATACGTGCAAGGCACACAGAGGTTTTCAGAAGGGACAAAACCTCCAGTACACAGAAGAGGCAACATCAAGTATTCCCGAAGCATTCCTTAACTTACAGGTTCGCTCAGCTCCACAGTCGTATGTTTTCCTTCTCCATCCGAAAGCACCAAAAGCTTCCCAGTAGGATGAATCTACAAAACACACCAGGCCTGCGCGCTCAGAAGGCGGCTGCCCGTGCAACGGGTTTGCCCGCCCACACCCAGAACCGCAGAGCAGGCCTTCCTCCCGCAGACCCGACCGTTAACGGCCGCCTCCCGGCCCGGCCAGAGCCGCCGGCTTCCCTCACGCCAGGCCGCGACGAGCGAGACCACGGCCCCGCCACCCCCAGGGCCCCCGCCCGGTGCGTACCGCGCGGAAAGGCCCTACCGCCCCCCTGCCCCCCGCCCCAAGGGGCGGCGGCCGCCCGTCCAGGGGCTCCCGCACCTTCTCGACGCGGCCCACGAAGCAGACGGGCTTCCCGATGTGCTGCGCCAGCTGCCCGGTGGCGATGCGCGGCCGCGGCACCTCATGAACGTCCCCCATGGCGGCGGCGCGATTTCCCGCCCTTTAGCGGAGGGGCAGGGCACCGTTACCCTTAGCAACAGGGGAAATTGATTTTTTTTTTTTTTCTTTTTTTTTGGGGGGGGGGGGAGGGGGCGGGACTTCCCCTCCTCTTGACGCGACCCGGAAGCGGAGGCGGAGGTCGGTGAGCGGTGGCGGCGGCTTCGGGCGGTGGGGCCGGTGGGTGATGGCGGGGTGGGTGTTGCTTGCTGCCGCGGCTGGCCCTTTCCCTGTCATTTAATCCTTTTCCTTTAAATTACCCGATATTTCCCCTCCCTTTTTAGATACTGACTCCACTCAGCTCACCGTTGCCCAAGCCAAGCGCGCCCGTTCACCGGGCTGTTAAGCCAGCGCTTTGCAGGCTGTGGTAGATGCTCAAGACGTGGCGTGTGACGGCTGCGATACCCACACATTTCCACAGGCGCGAGTACAAACCGGGATAGGAGCGGCTGGGGAGCAGCCCTACAGAAAGGGATGCAGGGGGTGCTTGGTTGGTAGCAGGCTCGGTGTAAGTCAGCAGCGTGCCCTGGCAGCCAAGAGGGCAAACCCCATCCAGGGGTGCATCAGACACAGCATAACCAGCCGGTTGCAAGGAGGTGATTATCCTGCCGTATTTAGCATTGCGGCATCCTCACCTTGAGAACTGTGGGCAGTTCTGTGCGCTGCAGTTGCATCCAGAGGAGGGCATGAAAGCTGGTGAAAGGTCTGGAAGGCACGTGAGGCCTGTGAGGACTTTGAGTTTGTTTAGTTAGAAGAAAAGGAGATTGAGGGGCGACCTCATTGCTCACTACAGCTCCCTGAGGAGGGGAAGCAGAGAGAGAGGTGCTGAGCTCTTCTCCCATGTGTCCAGTGACAGGATGCGTGGAATGTTTCAAAGCTGCATCAGGAGAGGCTTGGGCTGGACACTGGAAACATTTCTTTACCAAGAGGGTGATCAAACACTGGAACAGGCTTCCTAGACAGGTGGCTGATGCCCCAACCCTGTCAGTGTTTAAGAGGCATTTGGACAATACCCATAATAATATGCATTAACTTTTGGTCAACCCTGAATTTATCCGGCAGTTGGACTGGATGATTGTTGTAGGTCCCTTCCAACTGAACTGTTATGTTCTGTTCTATTCCATTCCATTTAATTTCACCATTAAAGAGTTTACACTCAATCCCCAGGGTTAGAGTGACTGGTGGATGTAAGACAGAGCTAGCTTCTGGATGTGGCACTCTCACCCCGTCTTGCCTTTTTCTGTGTGTTTTACCCAACTGTGCCTTGCACGGAGAGGTTCCTCCCGGTTTTTCTTGTGGCAAAGGCAGTTAATGGTATCCTGGGCTGCATTAGACAGCATTGCCAGTGCTTCGAGGGAGGTGATCCTTCCCCTCTACTCAGCACTGGTGAGGTGACACCTGGAGTGCTGGGTCCCAAGTTCTGGGTACAAGAGAGATGTGAACATACTGGAGAGAGTCGGGTGAAGGGCCACAGTGATGATTAAGGGATTGGAGCATCTTACAAATGAGGAAAGGCTGAGGGAGCTGGGACTGTTCAGCCTAGAGAAGAGAAGGTTCAGGGGGATCTTATTAATGCATAAAAATAGCTGAAAGGAGGGCACAAGAGGACAGAGCCAGGCACTTTAGTGGTGCCCAGTGACAGGAACAGAGGCAATGGGCACAAACTGAAATACTGGAGGTTCCCTCTGAACATCAAGGAACACTTTTTTTGTTGTGAGAGTGACCAAGCACCGGTCCAGGGAGATTGTGGAGGTTGTGTTTCCATCCTTGGAAATATTCAAAAGCTATCTGGGCGTGATCCTGGGCAACCAGCTCTAGGGGGCTCTGCTTAAGCTGGGGGTTGGACAAAGTGACCTCTGGAGGACCCCTCCAACTTCCACCATTCAGTGGTTCTGTGATTTCCTTTCAGTTTCCAGGACCGGTTTTTCAGGAAATACTTGAGAAAATCTAACTACTCGAGCTTAAAAGGGCAATTCCAACATTGCTGATGTGCTGGCTGTCTCTTCTAACCAGCCGTGGGTTAGTTCAGCTTGCTAACCAGCAAAGAGTGGGTTTTGTTAGTTGTCTGGGCTAGTGTTGTAATGGCTCGGCAAGCTGAACTAGCTTGCCAAGGAAACAAGCTACTGCCAGCTGTGCAGAACCAGCATGTGGCCAGGAAGGGGAGTCCTGTGGGATTCTATCTTTGATGGGGTGTAGCTGGTTGTCATCTCAATGTCACTATTCCATTCACATTTTCAGTAGTTTATTTGCAAGAGAATATCCTCATCTCTTTAGCATATCTACAGAGATTTTAAAGGAGAGGTCTCATAAATGTAACAGTTGGATCACGGTGCAGCAGGCTGCTGCAGAGTGGCTTTTTTAGGGCTATTTGTCTGCCACATTTAAAGAGTCAGCTGTTAGAAAAACACATTCTTACAAATACGTTTCTGTATCATGTTTAGCAGCCATTGAAGGATTGGGGTTGAGAACTGTTTGAAGGGAAAGAAGTAGGTTTCAACCTACTGAATATTGTATCAAATAAACACCTAGCTTTCTATTTTAGCATCTTCTATCTTCTTCAGGGTTTTAAATGTTGACATCAGTTTGAGTACTGTCATTTCACTCCTGGCTTTGCCTTTGTCACCTATGCTTTTATTGTCCAACTTGATGGTGGTTCATTTTTTTATGATTCAGCATTTTGAGTGTTTTTATACTATGGTAATTTGGGTTGCAAAGTTCTTGGTGTTTCTGCTTCCTTTAAACTTTATGAAAACTTTAAATATTCACATTTTATGTAAGTAAAAAAGTTTTTGTTAGTGTTTTGTTATATGTATATCTCTTTTTTGTATTTGTGTTTCTCTTCACACCTATTTTCCTTTCTTTTTTCAAGAAGCACAAACTAAAGCAATATGAATAATGTTAATACCAGATAAAAGAAATGTTATGTTGTATTTTTTTTTCTTCTTCACGTAGTTACTTACACTAGGCCAAAAGCTTTTAAACTGTTGTTTGTCACACAAAAATCTTTCCAACATGCATGTTCTTGACTCATAAGTTGGTTGTTTTCATGTGATAAGCAGGGCTGTAAACATCTTTCTGTTTTTCTGATTGCTACTTTATTGGTGAATCACAGCAGATGCTAATATGAACCAGAGAATTGCGCTGATGCTGTTTTTTCCTTCCATAGATTATATAGGTTAAACTGCTAGGTGTGACATTGTTTCTTTCTTTAAGCTTAGTTTTATATTTTGTTCTGACCTCATTTCATAATTTATGTTATTATCATCAATGCCACTGCGATTCTGCTTTTCTGTATTCCTGGGCATCCTCTCTTCATCTTAGTCTGTGTCTTTGGTAGTTTTAATATTGGATTACTTTTCTCCTCCTGTCACTTGTGAACATGCAAGAAAAAGCTGAAAAGTAATGCTAGATATGCTAAGATCTTCATTGTACAGAAAAACTTCGAATTTACCATATTGGTTTGGCTCAAAGGTCACCCATACTTCTTGTCAAAGGAGACTGACAAAATGCAGGAGAAATAAATTAACCCCTTTGTGGAGCTCTGTAACTTATCTTTGTCCAGTCCCATGTATGTTCTCAGAGCCTCGCAGAAAGAGAAAATATTTTTTGCAGCCTCACAAAATTTCTATAGTTCACAGTTTATTACTTGCTAATGACTGAAGTGGTGCCAGAAACGTTATTCTTAACTATCAACGGTTGAGAATGGAGAAAGAAAAAATTGTATTCACTTTTTGGTGAGGGAGAAACATGAGGAGAAGGGAATTGCATTTTCCTACCAAGGGAGATTTTTATCTTTAGGCATTGAATTCAATTTCAGGTCTCCTATAGAAATAAAATTAATCCCATCTGGAAGGGAAAAGTGCTGTGCTATATAGGAGAAATTATTGCAGGAATGTGGTACTATCTCTGAATGGTGGGTGTATTTTCTGTGATTTTGTGCTGACAGCTTTTAAAAAAACCACACACAACTAAGTGCTTTTTCACTAGTCTGTGTGACCATGTGTCCAGATCCACAAACTTAAAATTTAATTTTTACTCTGAAATGAAACTTGTGCGAAAACTGGTTGTTCTCAGCTTTTGTTAACTGAAACCTCATCTTATCTGCAAGAGTAATAATCCAGCCTGATTCTGCAAATGCTTAAACTGTGTTCTTATCTTCAAGAGCACGAGTGTTTCCATTCAGCTCTGTGTTTCTTTGTTGGACAGGGGCTTTGTTCTGTTTTTAACATGTAATTCAAGAAATTTAATGGTTGCATTTCCCATTGCTGGAGAGATTTATGTTTACTTTTGAAGTACCACAGTTGATAAAATTCTTGAGAGTGCAAATATCACAAATGTCCCAGCATTGCCTGTCTACATCTTTTCTTTCACCTGTGCCATCCTGTATATGGCTGTACTTTTTGCTTCTTATATTTCCCCTCTTATATTGTTAGTTGTTCTTTGTTATTTAGTTTAAACTTAATACTGCGTTCAGCAAAGGTACTGAAATACCGTAAGTAGTAGTTGGTGAGCTCTCTCTTCCACATCAGTTACGCAGGCCTGAGATCTACAAACATGAGTTTTGTTTCTAAGTGGTGAACACCCAAAGAAGGAACCAGCCTCCGCAAGCATGGTTAGTCTTACCACCTCCCCAACATTCACAATCACAAGATACAACATATGCTGTTTTCTTACTGCTGGGCCAGTGGTTTTAACAGCTTAAGAACCTGACGACCGAGCTTAGGCGATACTTTTGTTAGCTTTGTTTTCCTGCTTCAAGCAAAGGGACGTGTGAGCTTTTTTGGTTTTGTTTTCTGTTTGAGAAATACTTCTTGGCAGTGGAATTAAGTTAAAGCTACTTCAGAAACTGAAAACTACAAAGTAAAGATCAGCCCTCATGTATGTAGATAAGATGAATTTTGTGGGATTTTAGAAAAAAATGGGGTAATCAGACTGCCTTCTGTCAATGAATGGAAAAACTCCAGTATGTGAAAGTGCTTGTAACATTAATTTGATCAAATTGTACTTACTGTTAATTTACTCTGAATTGAAATGTCTGTTGTCCTTTAAGGGCTGATGTTTAGATAAGTTAAATATGCAGGATTTAAAACATGACAAATGCATGGTTTACTATACACCTCTTTTGTGCCACGTATATACTGATTAAGATGCTTTCCTTTGTGCAAGAGAGAAGGAAGGGGGAACACTATATGATAGAGCTGAAAACTACAATAATGCAGATCTCAAAGAGAAAAAAATGTGACTGGAGCAACTACAGCTGTGGTACCTGAAGTGGTTGGCTGGAATCTGAGCTCTTCCCAAAGCTATTTGTAAGATTTTATACATCAAGTTGATTTTGCTTCTTGTTGTTGCACACTTAGGATGAAGGTAAAATTGCATTTTAAACTGTTCCACAACTGCCTCTCCTTCATACATCATTGGAGCAGAAACCTGACTCTTGAGCATTACAGCACAGGTTTTTACCACTTGAGCTATGGGACTGACAACCCTAATTGGTAGCAGGAGAAGACATATTCCCCAAGGGCTGAAAAAGGAATATGCTGCTGGCGCCATGTGTTGAGCCTGGGTGTGGGGGAAGGTAAGGAATAAATGAGATAATTAGGAGTTTCTACTGTGTAATCTCCACGGAACTGGAAATATCAGTATTTCACGTGGTAAGGTAGGAAAACTAGAAAAAAGGAGTCAAATGCAGATAAGTAACTTTTTTTTTTTTTTTAATTATTGCATACCTGGGATTGGATGGTTTGTTCTGTTCTTGTGTACCTCAGTGTAGTTTAGTTGCTAGAAATTGCACTGTGTCAGCATAAGCAAGCAGTAGCTGGCCAGCCTGCAGGGTGTTCAGTCTTTAAGTCTCAGGTATCAGGCCACAGTTTGAATCGTTGCTGCTTTTGCCATGTTCTATTTATGTACTGCTCCCAAAAGCCAGTGCTTATAGTTCATATAGGACTTTCTGTGGAGTATGGAAGTGTTTGCTATCACTGTAACAGCAGAGTGTGAAGCAGTTTGTACCTGGCGAATAGTCAATTCTGATTGTGCAGTTAATTGCCACAGGTCTCTGGCTAGGGAAAGAAAAAAAATCTTGCTTATGGTACCATGAATATTTGGATAGGAAGGGAGGAATTCTAACAAATAGTGAATCCAGGACTTTTATCTTTTTTTTTTTTTTTTTTTTTTTTTAATCCAAACACTACATGGTAACACTCTTCTCTGTTTCCCACCTTCTAAAGACTCTTCTTTGTTAAATTTAGTGTAAATAATGTTGTCGAAACTTGACACTCTATACCTCATTTCTTTAGACTGGACTCCCTTCCTCTGTTGGAAGTGTATATTAGATGTTGCTATCAGTTTGTCAGTCCCTTCCCCTTTAAATGTTGGTGTCTGCAAAGTACAGCAGGATTCTGTTCTTCAAACCCTACTTCAAATTTAAAATTACATTATTCCACTTTCCCCAATTTTATATTGGTATTTTAGTAGAAAAGTTCTTCACATACCTTTCTTTAAACCTTCCTGTTTGGCACACAGCGTGTTTCAGCCTGACTGCAGGCTGCTCCATAGGTTGGTGTTGTCCAGTAGTCCAAGTTCTGCCCTGGGGGGCTGGAGGCGAGCGCGCATTCAGGGGGTGACTGCTTCTGCAGTGCCTCTTTCCTTTTCTCATCTCCCAGTGCTACAGACAGAGCTGCTGTTGTGGGAAGAGGCTGGGGAGAGTCAGTTGCTTCATTCAGTGGTGCCAGTTAGGTAGAAAATAAAAAGTAGATGGTGGTACATCAGTAATCCTCTCAATAAGCTGAACCTATGAAAATGTGCTTTGTGTAGTTCTGTTGGTGGTTTTTCACAAGAATGATGCTTCCTTATAAAGCTTTTCTTATAACTTTTATTGGAAGAAGAGAAACTTCCTTGAGCCTACATCGTAAAAGTTCAGAATAATTAGAGAATTTGCTTAGAAAAATGTTTCATGATGTATCCATGTTTATGTAGGACTTAATTTTATAAAAGCTGGCCCAAGTGCCTTTGTTTTGGCTGACGCCCATGGGGTTTTTAATAGGAATTTGTCCTTTTTAAGCTATTTAGAATTGTCTCTATGTAATCTTCCAGTCTTGAGAGAGAAGAGATACTGAGCATAATCTTTTGCACTTGATGTTTTTATCCCACTGCTTTCCTTGTTTTGTTTGAGCTGTTGTGAATTCAGGAGTTCTTATCTGCTTTGGAAGATTCTTTCAATGAATTATTGTTACGAAAAATTTGCAGTGTGATTTTGTTTAGTTTCTAAGGGAATTAGTGGTAACAGTTAATCAAGTACCCCCAAGTGTTAAGCTGTCTCTAAGACTGCAAACTGGAAAGGTGAAAATAGATACTAGGCTAATATTGTGGGATTGGGTGGATTAGTCTTTTTTTATTGGTGCACAGACACTTAAGAGTAAAAATCTCTGGTACAATTTGCTTTATTCAAGTATTCCTGCATTAAAGCTGCATTTTCTATAGGATCATGCTTTGGGCTTAGAAGTTTAGATGCTTTAGAACTTACTGATGAGAAAGTTTGTGTAACAGTTCAAAGTAGCAGAAAAATAAGGAAACATGCTGGATAAATGTTGAAGGGCATTTCCTTCTTTCTCCTTCCTTTAGAAAGGTTGAAGTTTTGGTTTGTTGTTTTTTGTTTTGTTTTTTGTTTTGTTTTGTTTTGTTTTTTTTTCAAATGGTTCCACTCCATAACTTTATAGAAAAGCCTTTATCCTTCACTCTCTTTTTGCCTACTGAAGTCAGTCGCTACATCAACAAGGTAACCTGTCCGATGTACAAATGCCTTAGATTTAAAATCAGCTAATAAAGATTAAACAACAGTATCAGGTGTGTGGCCTTTGGCATGGTGTGAATTTGTTATGGTAAATTCTGCTATCTTATATTTATTTAACATGTTTTGTCTTCATTTTAGATAACGACTTAGAAGAAAAACCAAAAGAGGCTATGTTCAGCTTCTTTCGAAAAAGTCAGGATTCAAAGAAGGTTACAGTGCCAGAAAGAGAAGCAGATGGATTTGTTATTGTGGGTAAGTGGTGCTTCTGTATAAAGTGATTCTTATAATCTCTGAAATGTAAAAAATTCTTTGAGATGCTTAGACCAAATGAAATGTTAAGAGAAGCCAAGACAAAAATTGTTCAGAGTTCTTACTTTTCCTGAAGGAGATAATATTCCTAGTCTCTCTCTTCATCATTTAGACTAAATAGCTGATGTTTTATTTATATGGGTATGAACTCTTATTCAAGAGCATTGAAAATGTATTTTTTTGATATTGTGAACCTTATGTCCTTATAAAACAAGAAAGCTCAAATTTGCAGCTTCTAGCTTTATGAATAGAGTTGTGGGAAGAGTATCTTACTGCAGTTGTTAGAGGACTTGTTTTATTCCGGTTCCTTCCTTTTAATGCTATCCACAAAGTCTTTTTATATTAGAAGCCAAGAAGCATCAGTGTATTTCTGGTCACATGATGAATGTTTATATTCTTTCTCAGAGTCTGACTCTTGCTTAGCTTGATGAGAATTAAGCAGTTTAGGGTTTTTGAAGTCTGTTGTTCAAAAACTAATCTGAAGTGCATTCACCTGTGAACCGGCTAAATTTGTAGCTTTAATCAAGATCTTTTCACGGTCTTCTAGGATGGCTCAAGCATGCAAAAGAAAGAATTTATTGCTGTCATGCTGTAACTGATCCTTTTTCCTCTTTTGCAAATTTGTGTTTTCTTCTTTGTAAATCTGTCATCATCAATATTTGGCTTCTGCTGCTCTGATTTACTGACTTGTTCTTATCAGGAATTCTACAGTGTTTCTCTATTCAAGTATTACTTCTTCCTGAGCATTTTCAAATCATGGAAGCCTCTAGATTATCAAAACCTAACAATATGAGAGACTACCGGAACTCTTTCTAAGGAGAACTTACATTCTTTGTAAGTTCTTCATTAAAAAAAATCTGGTGACTCTGTGTTGTCATGTCTAGTGGTTGCTTTCCACTAGATTTTGCTCATCTGAACTGGTTTTGATGGCTACATCAAATCACCCTAGCCACTTACATTGCGGAAGGGTCAAAGGAAGAACATCATCATCCCAAAAAAGTCTGGAGACCATTTAAAGTTTCAAATTCTGCAACAGGCAGAGAGTTCTGCACCTAAATGTTACTTATGTCCCACAATTGCTGGTTCTGATTCTGCATTCAATTTAACTTAATTCCTTTTCCCTGAAATGCTGTCAGTGACTATTTAAACTTTGTTCATATAAACTCAAATTATCTGTTAAATATAAACAGGAACTACCAATTTTTCTTGAATCTTCTCTTACTTTATTTATATTATTTTTTGCTCAGACAGAATTTAATTTAGAAAACTGCAGCTAAATGGACTGTCTTAACTAACTTTTTCTGGGCCAAAGAATTGCTGTCAGCCTTGTCAGTGGAGCATATCACTGTCTTGCTAGATGGATGTGACTGCAGAATTATAGGGCAGCATTTAAGCAGATACTTATCCATAAGTTTTCTTTGTTTAGGAATAGTGGCAGTCCAAAAAAACCCAAACAAATCACAACACCTAGCTGGTTTGCTAGTTACTTTCTTACTACTCAGATGGAAGGTTCTGAAGCTTTATTAAACTTAGGTGCAAAATACTCTAGAATACCAGCGCTAAATGTCTTTAACAAATATCAGTAGGATTATAAGGCCATTAGTGTGAATACTTCTGTAGGCAGAGAACGCTCTTGAAGGGAGTGAGAATTTAATTTTGTATGTTTTAAGTTGGTTCCTAAACCCAGTCTTTCATTCAAAGCATATAAGAACAAAAATCCTAGTTTGCCAGTATTCTATGGATGTAGGAGTAAGTGCTTTCCTTTCTTTCCTAGAGAAAGAAGAGGGAAAATACATCCTCAAGGGTTGCTTGATCCTGATTTCCACTGTTGTGGAAATCTCTTGCAAGGTTGTTCACACCATGCACCACTGATAAGGGCAGCCAGGAGTCTTAATGAAAGTCTGAATGAGACTTATCAAGAAAGGATCAAATCCCATATCCACTAAAGTATGAAAGAAATCTATGCAGTAATGTAGTGAGATTACTGAGCGTCACAATTAAATGTAGATAAGTATGATTTTCCTAACTATTTAATTATTTTAATCTCTTTCTGTATCATCTGATATTTGAAAAAGAGGTGAAGAAGATTCAACACTTTATTGAAAGATCTGCCAGAGCTATAACCCTGTCAAATCTTGAGGATATTTTTTTTTGTTTTCTATTTTTTTCATAACTCCTCCCAAGTCTTCTTTTATATTGCTATATTTTAAGTCTGCCTTTGCTTGTAGAATATCAATGCATTTGGAATTTCAATATCTGAGTACATATTCTTTTGACTACAAAGGTGACTCATAAAAACACTGGAGGCAACAAAACCAACTTTGCAGCATAGTAGCTGAAAAATTCTCTATTTTAGCTTCTGGGGCAAATACTGCATGTGTGGGAGTCCAGAAGAAAGAATTCATAATTCACTCTCTACAAAATAAATGTAAAATGTAATTTTCTAACAGGGACTAAAGCATTTTTATGTGTAGCTACCAGTTCACTTATTTTCCAGATACTGGTCATTTCATCTGTTCATGAAGCTGTAAAAGTGGTACTTGTTCTGTAACAAGCAGAACTATTATTCTGAAAAGGGAAAAGAGGCTTATGAAATACACATAACGCATGCGATTGGTTTTGATCAGTGAATCAATTGCAGAAATATGACAAATATTTCAGAGGTTTGCCTGATCATGACAAATTGTATTTGAAGTTAACATTCTGAATGCCAGAGTTCAGAGAACTAGTAAGTATTCAGGTAGTTGAGGGATCTTGAAGAGTAATAGTTCTTCAGGAATTTCTCATGTTCTGTGGCTATTGTAATATAAAATAAATTCCAGCCTACCATCCATTCCTATTGTTGCTAGCTACAGAAAAGATGACAGGTTAGTGCTAGCATTTTGGTTTGGCACACAGCTGAAAATCTCCCATCAGATCTCAAAGATGCATGTAGTACTAATCTCAGTCTAAGACCAAGAATTGAAAAACTGAGACAGCAATGATGCTTTCCATATGGGTTTGGCAGGAAGGTCAGAAACTCTTCAAACATCCACATTGTGCTGATGGTTCCACTGGGGTAGGTGATGAGTGTTTTTTGCTTGAAGACAACTGAAATATCACTGAATCATAGAATGGTTTGGGTTGGAAGGGACCTTTAAAGATCACCTAGTACAACCTGCCTGCCATGGTCAGGGACATCTTTCACTACATCATGTTGTTCAAAACCCTGTCCAACCTGACTTTGAACGCAACTTCTCTGGGCAGCCTGTTCCAGTGTCTCATCACCCTCATTGTTAAACAATCAAAACAAACCACTTATTACAGAATATTGTTCTGTACATGCTCTTCAAAAAATATTGTTAAATGTTAATTTTGTTCACAGGTTTAGTTTAAGATGCTGATGTGCAGGGTCTTGATTACTTTTCCAGAAAAAATTGAAGTAAGCCAGTGTGTGGAAGCAGCAAGTGCTGGTGGTTCCACCAGGCACGCAAGCCTGCAGGCGAGCCAGGGTGCTAAGAGGGCAGGAGCTTGGGCAGAGACCTCACCAGCAAGGGGTGCAGTCCCACACTACCCGAGCAAGGACAACAGAGAAGGTCTGGTGACAGTGACCGGGTCAGCCAAGAGTCCAGCGATTGCCAGACAAGTCTGCAGGGACGAGGCAGATCTGAGGCCAGGTTGGGAAGTCAGGTCAGAAGGTCGGGGTCATCAAGGTGCATGGGCAGGCTCAGGCATCCCTGCAGGGTGGCTTGGGTAAGGACAGAGAACCTGAGATGAGGCTTCTTCCTGCAGCTCTTTGCCTGGGCCCTGATGGACGTACTCAGGCTGCATTGTGTCAGTGCTGGCCATGGGCACGGGTGGCCAAACCCCCAGGGCTGGGGAAGGGGCTGCTGAGGCCGGTGGTGCACTGGGGCTGAAGAACCATGATGGTTGTGTTGTCTTTCACTAGTGTCTGGAGACAGCACAGTTCTCTGAGGAGCTCTTGATCTGAGCTTTTGACCATGCCTAAGTTCAAGTCTGCTTTGTTTATTTTTAGCTTGTGTTTTAAAGACCAATCTGTTTCATGGATATAAGTGTTGTTGGTTTCTCTTTTGTTTTCTTTCAGGGATCTTTTTATGTCGTAAATTGGAATGGAGTAAATGGATTGGAGAAGCAGCTCAGTTGCTGGTGCTTATAAACCTGATTTGTGAATGTATTTAACTTCTGTTTCTTCCTGGAATTTAGGAGAGTTTCCTGTTTTATTCTTTTAGATTTAAATTAAAATGGATTTTCAATACTGACCAATGGCTATTATTTCAGAACTTTACTCTCAGCTTCAGGTGCAGATCTCTAACAGGTGGTAGGGAGTATTGTTATTGACTTACAGGTAGCAATTAACTGTCACTTAAAGGTTGTTTTGTGAGAACTAGCAATTTTACTGTAGAGTTTTTCAAAGTTTCAGGAGTAAGTACCCAAGGAAAAACGGACTGGCACAGGATTCTCATCAGAGTGGAGTGACTGTTACAGATGCAGGGAGGCCGTGGCCATGGGGTTGACAGGAATTTTATAATGAAGATATACTCCTCCTCTGTAAACCTCCCTTTTCTGTACTGTACTTTCCTAGATCCTTGGAAGCCATCTAGGACTAGTAAGGAAATTTTGGATTAACACCTATTGGTTATGCTTCTCACCATTGCAGCAACCGTGATTTTTGCCTGCTATGTTTCCTCTCAAGAGAACATAAGCAGTCACAGACATAAGAAATTAAGTGTTTTGAAATCTTTGCCCAATAAGGAGAAGGACTTGTGGTATTTAAGTGAGTCTTGGATCTGTGAAATTAACCAACACATACCTTCTGTTTCAATGCTGATGTCTGAAGAGAAGGAGCTATACAGAACAAAAGTGATCAAGCTTGCACCAACATCAAAAACCTCACAGAAAAGGAGGTGGGAACTACTGTTTTTCATACTGTGAGATACCTTGTG